ACTAGTGACGATCTTCACATCCCACCGAGATATTAGGATATTTTATTTTTATTTTATTTGAATACATATCACTCAGGCCTGTTCTTCACCCAGCTCAGTGACACATCTGAGGTTGCAGGTATAACTATGCACTTAATAACTGTGTCAGAGTCTGAGAGATCTGTTTGGACGGCCAGGAATGAAGAATCTGCTTTGCACTCTTTCATTTTTCTTCATTCCCTTCTCACTTCTCACACAGACACACACACCCCTCCTCCTCTCTCACTTTCTGACTTCTGGAGGTTTGACAGAAGTGTCTCTCATCCTCACTGGCAGCTGTTGCCATGGTTGTGTCAGCGCTTCAGAACTACCTGGGATGGTATTTCCATGGACACAGATCAGGATGGCACCAGGATCTGAGGTGTAGGAGGGAGGCAGCTCACCGGTGTCAGCAGTTCTGTGTGTTGGAGATGGACTGGCTGAGACAGAGGAGCGAGAGGAGGAGGAGGACGAAGGGGAGGAGGAGGAGGAGGAGGAGGAGGAGGAGGAGGATTAGGGTCTGGGGAGATATTAAACAGAAGAGGAGCAGGAGCCGGAAAAAGAGTGAACGTGAGAGTGAGAGGCGGGGTATTTCACTGAACCCTCTGCTGAAGGGTTATTTCACTTCGTTGCAGATCTACCTTTCAGCACCGAGTCGTTCAGTTTAGATCCGTGAACAACAACAGAAGCAAGAGGAATGAACTGAGGCACCCCGGGGAAGTTGTACACTAACTCCTGGAGCTGTTCCATTAACACTGGAGTGGATATGATAAGATTTGAATGACATGATTATACAGGTTTTCCTGTACTTCATGATGAATCACAAATTATGGCCTAAATGAGAAAGTGAATGTTTAATGCATCATTCTGTTTCCATTTGAGTCCATTTAAGGCTAATACTGACATTGATATTTGAGAATAATAAAAATATGACAATATATAAAATTTTACATTAAACTATAATAAATAACTATAAAAAACATATTTTCAACATTTTTTTTAATGTGGTGCACATATACATAAAATTCAGCCTATAAAACACATACACGCTTGTTTGCATCTGCCCACATACAGTTTATACAGATACCAATATGTCTGTGATATGCCCACATTAGCCAATGACATCAGCCCAGATTAAATATTGATCAGGTTCCAGTTTGCATTCTTGCAGTAATATATTTCTGAAAATGTATCACTGCACACATTCTTGGGATCACTCTATGGTACCAAAACTTCCAATGCTGCTGGTGTATGTGTTTTTATTTTTTATTTTTTACACTTTCAGTTGTTTACTTTGCTTATTCACATCTGTATTAGATTTTTATATTGATTTATGGTGTAGGTCCATGTTTCTTTATGCTTGTCCGGTCTGTTTCTTGTGCTGCTGTACCCCACCTAATTTACTACCATGAGTTCAATTAAGTGTGATCTGATAGTAGATTATAGGCCAACTCTTTGAGTGTTATATATAGAGTAAAAACTAATTATTTTACATAAACACACACATAAATTTGTTTTAAACAAATTGTCATCAAGATCTGTGCTGATTGGGATATTTTACAGCTGTCCTGACATTTCATATTACTCATCTTCTGACATACACGCCGATACTGATGTACTACAAACGACATGTCATATCAGCCTAGGTGATTTATAGGTCTAGCTCTAATTTAGATTTGTGGAGGAACGTGCATATTTATAAGGAAAATCTGCTGTGGTAGATCTCTGAGTTACTGTAATTTTGTTAGGCACTTCCTAACCTGGGGGACCGGATTCCCACAGGAAACTAATATTAAACTAATGTTTATTGCATCTGACTTCTGTCTAATCTATTCTTTTTATTTATTCAGTCATGTGCAACATGTTAGCCAAAATGGTTGATGCCATCTGATTGACTCTTTCTTGTGGTCACTTAGTAATGGTTCCCTGCTTTCCTATTTGAAGGTAAGGTGCATAGAATATAGTAAGCAAATGAAATTTGATGTGCTTAAGATAACAGCAGTCTTGTGAATTAGGTTTAAGATTTCGATTTTTACATCTACCAAATCCAGGTTTTGTACCCCCAGATCCCTGCGGGGGTGAAAGCTGTTGATCTCACCGATTGCAGATACCCATGTGGCCCAACATAAAGGCACCCAACCCCTTAGCCGTCACATAAAGCTGACATTCCCTTCCCGTCAGCCTCGCAGTCATTGTAACCTTGATAATGCTTCCATTCATAAATCATCTTTGCTCTGCCTGTTTGACAGCAAGTAATCAAGGACAACTGCAGATGGTGCTGAGCGTCTCCTTCTACAAGGCCGAGTGTCTGTAATATAATGCAGAAAGAGCAGAGGAACAACACAAGAGGCAGCGACTGACTGTCAGGTCCCCCACTGACTGTCCATCTGTGTGTGACACTGACTGGAGTCTGCTGTGTTTGTGACTCACCTGCACACTGCTCAGCATCACTGTGCTTTGATTTAAGCAAGTTAGAGTGACATATCCTCAACCTCCAAAGAAAAATAATTAAATAACCAACAAGATTATACAGAGTTTGACAGTGTTTTCCTCTGTGGCTGGCTGCGTGTTGACCACTGAAGCTTCAGGCTACAAACTCTGGTTTTCGGACTGAAAATTGTTCTGGTTTTAAACCAATGCACTAGAAAGAATCCTGAGGCATTCATATTGTATGTGCATTTTTTATGTTCAGTAAAGTACGCTAAATATGAAGCTGTATCAATAGTTTATATTTATTTATATTTTGGAGTATTTGGCTTGTTTTTTAAGGGTGACAGTAGAGACTTGGTATGTTGCGTTTACATTGGGTGTCTACAGCCAAACCCACCTAAAAAATAATTTAACAGGGTATTAAATATTTGTGTAATTTACTCCCTTTTGTGGGAGTTTCAGCCCTAAAATTTTAATTCAATATCATTTAAGGCTGTTTTGCTTTAAGCCTCTGTAAACCGTAATTCAGTTTGTTTATACAATATGACCTTTATGTCTCTTTTTAGATGCATAATACATCATTGAATTGTGCTATAACTATCCGTTGATGAATAGTTTATTAATTTTTTCAGCTCTTCTGTGCAGCGTCTGTGTTTGTTGCCTGGCAAACTCAATGGGATGTCAAGTCTCCAGGAAGTAACTACACCCGACTATCCAAGGAGGGTTAAACCAAGAGCATCTGGGCTTGATCTGAAGATACTTGAAGATGTTTCGCCTCTCATCCAATAGGCTTCTTCAGTTCTAACTGACTGGCATCCCAGGTATTTAACCTGGGGTTGTTATTGAGGTGATGGATACCACTTGGTTTTAGAGATGATTTATCTACTTTGGTGTAGATGGCTTCCACTACCATCTGTCCTCCCTATCCATAACATGGACATCGAAAGCGTGTACTCCATTCCTTCAAGTAGTGGCTGTTTAGTTTCCCCAGTATACAGGTCTGTGCATTCCTCACTGCATAGGACAGCATACGCTAGATTGCTTTTGTTGTCATTCAGGTGGACCATCTGTCTGTTCTTGGGTTTAAAAAACACAGGGATGTGGTGTTTGTTAAACCAAACTCCAAACATATATGGAACAACGATGTTGCATTTACTCTACTTTTGCTCACCCATAGTGTTGGTGTTCTTCCTGGATCTTGTGGCTGTTTTCACAAAGGTCCAGTTTGGATCTCCACAAGCACTCCTTCAGGTGTTTATGCTCCTTCTCTCGGGCCTGGGCACTTGTTTGTATATGTAGATTTCGGCTCGGTGGTGCAGGGTTCTGTTAACCCCTAGCTTATACTGTAGTGGGTGGTGACAATCAAAGAGCAAGTACTGGTCTCTGCGTGTGGGTTTCCAGTATACTTGAATGTGGAGGCTCATGTCCTCTTCAGTGTGTACGGCCGAGGTTTGTTCTGTTGTTCAAGGTGTTGTTTTGTAGCAGTCAAGTTCTGCCTCCATGGTGGGGGTACATGTGGTGAGGCGTGTTGCCGACCAAGGGAGCTAAGGCAGTTGCGTAGATATGTGTTTAGAATAATAACTTAAACATTTTCAGATGAACTACTGGGTAATCATCGCTAAGGGAGTTTCTAGGCTGTGGTGAACAGATGGTGTTTGAGTAGTTTTAAAAAAAAAAAAATGTCCAGGGAGTCTGGTGTTGAGAATGGAGAGCAGGCCAGCTTGTCTTTGAAAAGGACATGTAAATGTGTGTTTCCCAAAATGTCACTATTCCTTTGAAAAGAGTAAAGCAATCCTCTACCTTGTTACTTACTGTTTGGGTCATGTAGCATTTCAAGTATTTTTTCCTTCTGTGTTTTGAACAAAGATAACCTTTTTCCACTTCATCTAAAATTATTCAACCCAAAATGACATACTCCTGCCAGGTTTTGGTGAAAACACATCTAGGACATGAGGACTTTTAATAGTGGTGCTTCACTTTGCATCCTTGGCGAGCAGTTTTATTGTATGTTGCGTTTTGGCACTCCTAATACATGGTTTCCCCTCTGTACCTCACTCATACAACACAAGTTTCATCTGGACAGTTTTCTCATTTGTTAATTTGTGTCCATTTTCTTCATAAATACTCAGCAAAAAAAACTCTTTACCTGCTGAATGTGTGGCACTGCTGCTGTTTGTGCTTTTTAATAATACAGCCGCGCTGCCTTTGTAGTTACAAGAGCCCTCAGCCAGTTGATGTTTTGGAAGCAAAGTGGTATCACGTGCTTGCCCTGCTTTAGCTCTCGTACTGATCAACAGTTTACACAATGCTATTGACTGCTTTCCAGAGAAACATGTATTTAGCATTTAAGACATGCTAGGCGTGAAGGCCTGTCACTTGGCTTACACGAACACTGCAACTAGTTCAAACACACACAGCCTGGAGTTGTCTTTCCCCTTAAAGAAACTGAAGAGGATAAGTGTTGTTTTGAGTTGAACTAAAACAGACAGCAGACCTGTAGGGAGTCGACTGCAGCAGTTATGTCAAACTCTCCTTCCTTGTGTCTTTCTCAGGGGATTCGTTCACTCAGTTCCGGTTTTCAGAAGAAAAGGACTGGGAGATTGACTCGTCTGCAGCCAGTCTGGTAAATCTAAGTCCTGCACATTCTGCATTATTGCTCTCCCTTTTATGCATATGGCTCTCTTAGGTGGATTGAACATGCACAGAAGTTAGAGTATGTGTGTTGGTTGGTGGGCCCACCACTTTGGTTCAGACTGGAATATCTCAACATCTCTTAAGATATATGTAATTTAAAGGTTGGATACCTATAAAGTATATGTAGGACTAAATTATGGAATAGACTACCAAAATAGTAAGTTTTGCTTTTACTCACAAGACTAACTTAACAGGGAGACAAATTGATTCTGCAGGAGGATTGTTGATATTTGAACTCAACTGCCAAACAAATACAGGTGCTGGTCATATAATTAGAATATCATCAAAAAGTTGATTTATTTCAGTAATTCCGTTCAAAAAGTGAAACTTGTATAATTTATACATTCATTCCACACAGACTGATATATTTCAAGTGTTCATTCCTTTTGATTTTGATGATTATATCTGACAACTAATGAAAATCCCAAAATCAGTATCTCAGAAAATTAGAATATTGTGAAAAGGTTCAATATTGAAGACACCTGGTGCCACACTCTAATCAGCTAATTAACTCAAAACACCTGCAAAGGCCTTTAAATGGTCTCTCAGTCTAGTTCTGTAGGCTACACAATCATGGGGAAGACTGCTGACTTCACAGCTGTCCAAAAGACGACACACAAGGAGGGCAAGACACAAAAGGTCATTGCTAAAGAGGCTGGCTGTTCACAGAGCTCTGTGTCCAAGCACATTAATAGAGAGGCGAAGGGAAGGAAAAGATGTGGTAGAAAAAAGTGGACAAGCAATAGGGATAACCGCACCCTGGAGAGGATTGTGAAACAAAACCCATTCAAAAATGTGGGGGAGATTCACAAAGAGTGGACTGCAGCTGGAGTCAGTGCTTCAAGAACCACCACGCACAGACGTATGCAAGACATGGGTTTCAGCTGTCGCATTCCTTGTGTCAAGCCACTCTTGAACAATATACAGCGGCAGAAGCGTCTCGCCTGGGCTAAAGACAAAAAGGACTGGACTGCTGCTGAGTGGTCCAAAGTTATGTTCTCTGATGAAAGTAAATTTTGCATTTCCTTTAGAAATCAAGGTCCCAGAGTCTGGAGGAAGAGAGGAGAGGCACAGAATCCACGTTGCTTGAAGTCCAGTGTAAAGTTTCCACAGTCAGTGATGGTTTGGGGTGCCATGTCATCTGCTGGTGTTGGTCCACTGTGTTTTCTGAGGTCCAAGGTCAACGTAGCCGTCTACCAGGAAGTTTTATAGCACTTCATGCTTTCTGCTGCTGACCAACTTTATGGAGATGCAGATTTTTTTCCTACAGGACTTGGCACCTGCACACAGTGCCAAAGCTACCAGTACCTGGTTTAAGGACCATGGTATCCCTGTTCTTAATTGGCCAGCAAACTGGCCTGACCTTAACCCTATAGAAAATCTAGGGGGTATTGTGAAGAGGAAGATGCGATACGCCAGACCCAACAATGCAGAAGAGCTGAAGGCCATTATCAGAGCAACCTGGGCTCTCATAACACCTGAGCAGTGCCACAGACTGATCGACTCCATGCCACGCCGCATTGCTGCAGTAATTCAGGCAAAAGGAGCCCCAACTAAGTATTGAGTGCTGTACATGCTCATACTTTTCAGTTGGCCAACATTTCTAAAAATAGTTTTTTTTTTTTTGTATTGGTCTTAGTAATATTCAAATTTTCAGAGATACTGAATTTGGGATTTTCATTAGTTGTCAGTTTTCAATCATCACAATTAAATGAAATAAACATTTGAAATATGTCAGTCTGTGTAATGAATGAATATAATATCCAAGTTTCACTTTTTGAATGGAATTACTGAAATAAATCAACCTTTTGATGATATTCTAATTATATGACCAGCACCTGTACACCTTCCCATCAGTGCCATTTATCAGATTCTACCAGCATTTGTCTGTGGATAAGAAGCAGTGTATATCAGTCACATTATATAACAGTTCCTGATCTCTTTCTACTTCTTGTGTACAGTCAGAGCTGCAATGTTTTGTTTCTCTAGTGTGCAAGCACAAAAGCGTACTGACCTGCACTAGGAGGCTACTTATAACGATTACAAAATATTTAACAAGTAGAGTTTTCACATCCCAGGACCCACAATTTATCTCCCCATGCTTAAATTATATTTTAACTTTATGCCTGGCTTTTGATTCCATATCCTGATGAAGATCCAAAAGGCTTAAAATTGAGAGAAAACAGTAATTGTTTTCTCTTAATTTTGAGCATTACATTTATCAGTATGCAGTGAATGTGTGCTTATAATCTAATGCTTTACACTTAGTTTTTCTATTTCCTCTCTAGATGTCTGCAGTGTTTGTGGACCTCCCAGCACTGGCCCAGAGCCTTCAGCAAGTGCCTCTCCATCAGAGACTCAACCTGGAGGCTGAGCTGGTTCAGGTATGCTGCACCCAAACTAATGTTATGTGTATAATCTCAATGGATTCCCTGTTGCAGTAATTTCCCCCCTGATCCTGTTTCAGGTCTTGACACCAGTACAGCTGCCAACTATGACTCTTGCAACTAAACAGGAGATTTCAAAAACGACCACATTCACTCCTCCGTCTGCTTTAAAAGTCCCCGTGGATAAAAATCCAGTGTCGGACTCGCAGGTTTCCTTGCGTCCTGCAGAGCCGCCGGCGGATGATGTTGATGAAGAGCTGGACCAGCTGCTCAGTTTACAGAAACCAGTCTTGGGTGTTTCAGGAAACCAGTCTGTCACAGACGAGGAGACTGCCGTTCCAGAGAAAGGTCAGTGTAATAAACTTTATTAAGCTCTCTAATGTATTTCTTAAGTACTGGACTTGAAATATGCTGCAGTTAGATGAGAATATAAACACCACTCTCATATCTGTACGGTGAATATGAAGCTAGAGCCAGCAGCCGGTTAGCTTAGCATAATGACTGGAAACAAGGGTGAACAGCTAGCCTAGCTCTGTCCAACAACGTAGTTTGCCTACCAGTACCTTGAAATTCACTAAATACCAGGCTATATCTTGTTTGTTTGATTCGTAGCATAAAAATGACCATTCACCATTTTATGGGAGGTTAGGACTAATTATTGGCTCTGGGCAGTTGCCAGGAAACCAACCAGTCGCGACTCCAGGAAGTTACCATGCCTTTTTTATCGTCTGTTTTCCTCTAAATGGTTCCATAATTTACAAAATGAACAGCATGCTGTATTGAAGACTTGAAAATACAGACAGACCATAAACTCACTTAGGAAAGTGTTTACTGAGGTAATAAATCAAGTGAGAAGTAGGGTCTTTTTGTCATTGACTCCAATGCAATTAGATTTCTTTTTGCAACAACTGGAGTCGCCCTCTGCTGGCTATTAGGTAGAATGCAAGTCAAAGGCACTTCTGCATTGACTTTGCTTTTCAGACCTGGAGGTGGCTGCTTGGTTAATTTGTGGGACTGGAGGGCGTATTTTAATATAGGTGGACAGTACCAGGCTAGGTTTCCAGTAAGCTAAGCTAACTGGCTGAAGCTTCACATTTACTGTACAGACATGAGTGGTATGAGTTTACTCTCCGCTGGAAAGTGTCAGAAATGTCAAACTTTTGCTTTAAATACAACGAAAGCATCAGGAATTTAATTAGAAACTTGCAAACGGTCTCACATGATGGGCAAATTACTCTTCACATTACTGTCCATCTTCAGAAATAGCGTTATTTTAGCGTTAAAATATGTCAAGCACTAAAATAGTAGTGGGTATGTTCAAAACTTGTATGATGGTAAGAGTCATTCTTTTCCCATCTTGTGTTCTTTCAATCTGCAGCGTGTGAGGAAGTGAAGGAGGTGGTGCCAAAGGTGATAGAAGAGAAGATGGAGGAGGTGAAAGACAAAGACGTCACACCTCCCAAGTCTGCTTCCGCCCGACAGGAAGTGACAGAGGAGGACCTGGAGGACTGGCTCGACAGCATGATCTCCTGACCCACCAGGGAAAGACTTGATTAAAGACAGAAGATATAGGTATATAAAGTAAACTGGACTTCAACTTCTGTCTGTTAAAAGTCATATCAGACCTAAGTAGAACTTTAAGCATTCAGTCTGAAAGCTGATTATATTATATGTACATTCTTAAAGAACTTGATAGTTGTTTTTGGCCTTCACTTTTTTTTGGGTTTTAAAAAATGAGGGTCAAGTTATTAGTTTATCCAGTTTCCGGGTCTGATTGAGAGACGGAACAGTATGTCTCAGTTTGTGAGAACGTGTCAAAATGTTCCCGCTCTGTCTTTCATGTTTTAGAGAAGTAACGGTCTGTTCCTTGTGAGGCTGTGAAAGTTGCACGCCACAGGAGTGTTGCCATCAGAGGGATGTCAGCTGCCAAACGGACGGACACGTTTGGTTTATTGCGTCAATTACTTTATTCATTTTCTCCCCCTCATCAAAAGAAATGCAGTTTACCAAAGCTACTACGTACATACAAATGGCCATACAATAGCAGTGAACCATTTTGTCATCAATAAATCCTTGAACCAAGTTCTCTTTTCTTTTCCATTTTCCTCTGATGTGGGGCTCTTCTACTGTGGAAAGAAGTGCAGGCGGGCAGGACACCACAGCTTAGAAACAAAACCAAACTAAGCGACATTTACACAAGGATCATCTAGATTTTATACAACAAATGTTTTCTCTTAATTTAAAAGCCACAAAACTAGCTTGAGCTAAATCTGCTTGTAACTAATCCAGGACTAGAGCACTGCTTGTGTCAGGAGGAACAAAAGGTTGTTTTTTTTTTTTGCATAGTTTTCATAAGGCACGTCGGCACTTGATAAACACCTAATGTGAGTCGTCTCCGGTCCTGGAAGAACCATCTTCTGTAACTCTTCATTTGACAGGTTTGAAAGGCAGATCGGGTCTCATTCATGTCATTTGATGGTAACTGGATCAATAGTGATCAATGCTAGCAGCACACATCCATCCAGTTGGTTTGGTAATAAGTGACACCAACATCCTGGCGTTAATCTAGAAATTGTGCATATTCAGACATTCAGTTGTCATGCTGTAACCCTACACGAGTATCAAATGTCTACACACAGCAAATTGTGCAACAGGTTGGGGTTAAGCAAGTGAAAAGGCAATGTGAATCAGACACAAAAGAAGAATCTGCATAAAAGAGGCGTCGTGGCAAGTGACTATTTTCGATAACAAGGAAGAGGACTACAAAGAGACAAACCCGAAATGTCCAATCAGTCTTTCGTCTTAAAATGATGTTTTGTGTATCTGAATTCAAAATGAAAGGTTTATTTTGACACCATGGCAGCACAGAAAGTCCGGCAAGTGTTCAGGTTCTGTTAACAGGGTGAAGTCAAGTTCAGTGTCTCTTTTCAGATAGAAAGAAAGTAGAGAGGGTTGTTTGGGGGCACTAGACGAATAGCTGCCCACTCTAACCCAGCTGGTCCTCATATTGCTTACGGAAGCAGTCTCCAGTAGGGAAGAAGTCCCAACATCTCTCCTGGTACATCTTCCACACGAATGACTCCTGCAGGGGAAATACAAACAAATACAAATCTGCTGATCAAGAAAGATTTAAAAGGGGGCACTCCCTCAGTTTTACTAGTTAGAAATAGTACAATGTCCTTTGAGGATTTTGGTCAAGTGTGAGAAGACAACCCCTGATGAGGAGACTACAAATGAGTAACAGCATGTGTTGCACACTGGGGGTTATTGCATATGATTGACTTGGGCATTTGCCAGACAGAGGGTCTAATGAAAACATTATTAGTTGCATTATGGGAAATCAAGGATCCTGCAGAAACATCTGATTGTACATTTAATCCTAAATTCAAATACACCACTAATGGCTACACTGTAGCTAGTTTTAATGCTATAACATAAGAGTTCATTCTAACTCATTAGAAAAGTGTTTACTGAGGTAATAAATCAGGTGGGAAGTAGGTCATTTTACTATCATTCTAATGTATCCGGACGTCTTTTTGCAACCAGAGTCATCGCCCCCTGCTGGACATTAGAAAGAATGCAGGTTTAGGGCACTTTCCCATTGGCTTCAGTTCACATATCTTTTTCCATTCATTTTCTTCCTTGTCATAATCTGGTACCTAGGTTACCCACAATGCAACTCTGCTGCCTTGGAGACTAATGTGTTATGCTGGTAGACTCCAGCCTGAAGCAGAGAGAGAGGAGTGGGGTACAGAGGTCTGACAAGCTCAATTGTTTCTGCCTCACGCCTCCAGATTCTTTTCCCATTTTCAGACTTGTAGTCTTCATGCGCTGACTCACGTGACATCACTTGACACAATTATCACACAGCTCTATCTGGAGCCATAAAAAGGCTTTATATAGCTTTTTTTCCCCACACATGCAGCAGTGCTCCCCAACACCTGTAATCAGACTTTGATATGTGAAATCGGTGCAGTGCCAACCTGGTGACAGTTAAGGGATTATTTATATCTGCACAGGCAAATATAAGTTAAATGTGTACTCTATACGGTTGGGCGATTAGCTGTTAGATGGCTAAGTCATTAATAAGCCGATGTTCGGCTCAGCTGCTGACGTGATAACTGATCACGGGTGTAAATATATGGAAAAAAGACAAGTTCTCAGTCTTTTAGGTGACTTTATAAAACATACTGCTGATGGAGAAAATGGAGCAGATGGGGGAGTGAGACAGAGTGGCGGGGAAAGCCGGGGTGCAAACCTGAGGTGTGTGTGAGTGTGTGGGGAGAAGAGAATTCCAAGGCAGGTGCAAAGCATACTTAAACAATAATAATGTTTGTGGTCATTAAAACCTGCTTTCACAGGGTGGTATAATGTGAACATTTGAGATTTTTTTTTTGCTGGGGGGGGCAGGAGTTTTACAATCATGATGCCGGCTCAATGTCGCGATGTCTGTCAGCCATCGCCGATGGACGATGGCATCGTCTATTGGCCCAACCCTAATACTCTATGTTGTAACTTGTATGGTGCAGTTAAAGCATAACCACCATTGAACTCACACATAGCTGGTGCAACAGGCTGCTGGGATTTTGGAGCTTGACCAATACTAGGAACTAACTTATCAAGACTTATCTCGGCTGCTTCAATTTTATAAAATCTTTCCTTTTGTGTCCCAACTTTTTGTGAATGCTAGACTAAATCGCTGGAGTGACCCTTTAATCATGTCAAGCCTGTTGCACAAAGCATGGAATTTATTTTGATGAGTGAAACGTGAGCAACAGGAAATCACAGATTGCATATTGCAAGTTTGGTGAAATGGGCCCATGGATTTAAAAAAAGGCTACATGCAAACATAGTGTGTGATGTAGTTAGAACTTAAGAGCAGTAAGTTGTACACCATACATCTTTAATAATCATTTGGATTAACACTTAAAATTATTAACCAATAAGGCCTGTATTTATTTTCTGCCGAAGCACTGAAAAGTTAAGGTTTATGACTTTTTCTCTATAAGCAGCTGAATTTGGTTCTTTGCAGCTCCTTCAGGCTGGCAACAAACTAAGTTTTATTTTCCTTTTGCTAAATTTAGGACATAAGAACATTGCATGCACATAAAATAAAAACAACTTGCATCTCAGGTGCACGACAATAACAAGTTAATATAAAAAGTCAAAGTGATCCCACGCATTGCTCCTTCTCCTAAGCTGTACTTGTGCAACATTTCAACCCACTTGTTAGGTTGCATAAGTAAAAACCTACTGAAGTTTCTGCAACCTTCCTTTGCTGTCTTGAGAATGATCAGATACGAAATATAAAGCATCTCACTGAAGAAAATGTTAAAGAGAAGTGAATTGAAGCTAAAATAGAGTAAACTCTTATCTCATACCTGACCCGTGTGTTCAGTCTCGTCCTTGTTAATCAGGTACATCAGGAAGAACCTGCATACAGGAGGACATACAGGTGTGATCAGAAATAATCAGAAATACGCTAAACTTTGGTCATTTCCTGTTTGTTGCTGCACTCACAGGTAGTTAGCTAGGTTGTGCTCTTGTAAGGTGTGGGTTTCAAATCCGTGAGGCGTCCGATCAAAGTAGTCATTCCCAATGCCACAGATGAAGCATTTGGTCTGAAAGAAGAATTGGGGGGGGGGGGGTGTTTACATTTTCATACAGGGCCACAGTTGGTGTACTTTTACACACTACTCTTAGCCTTACTGTATTTAGGTCACTTTCACACCTGTAGTATAGCTCTTTTGGCCCAGACTTTAGCAGATTTAATTGCAGCTGTTGAATTAGTGTTAGAATCTACTGTAATAAAATCTGGTGTTAGGCCTGCTTTGCTTTTACACCACAGACAAACTGCAGTCAGTCTGGAAGCGAAGCGAGATTCTCCCTTTTCAGGTGGTCTCAGACCTGTTGTTAAGTCTGTACCAGAGTTTGATTCACACCAGCCCAAACAAACTGCACCAGGTGTGTTCCTCCACATTTATGCATCAGCTTTGTGGCTAAAATGTTTGCTCTTAATACACACAGTTTCGGTCCTGACTGGACCCCGAGTCTCACCTCCATGTCCTCCTTCACCTGCTCCTGCTGGTCTCTCAGCTCACCAAAGGCGTCAATGATCAAACCTGCAACAGTTGGCCACAGTACTGAGCATGTCTTATCTTACAACACCATCTATAAAGCTGATAGAATACATGACAAGACTGGTGTCCGTGGCATTAAATGACACGAAACAGATTGTGTACCCTGAATGATGGCCAGCAGGATAACAATGACAAAGAAGAAGAAGGTGATGTCAAACAGAATGCGGTAGAGCTCATAGGGGTCTCCAGCTGGGTCCTCCAGCTCGTCTCCAATACCACCTCCAGCTCTCACACCCACGTACATGTGGAACAAATAGCACTGCCGAGAGGAAAAAAGGGAAAGTAACTTAGAGCTTCAGTCATTTCACATGTTTTTTAAAGATGACACGACAAGTAGAGTACTAAAGGCAGCTGTCTCTTAGTGGTAGCTAGGGATGAAAAAAAATGTAAATCAAAATTTCAGACAAGAAAACTAAACCAGTGCATTACGCAGCTGAGGATTAATTTATTACTAATAGAAGATAAAATCTATAAAGCCTGAAGAATCAAAAGATGTGTCTAATAAAAAGTAAAAGATGTATGAACTCCTGAGAATCTGTAAGCTTTTCCTCTGAAAGGACTGAAATTACTTTTATAAACCAGTTATGCAGCAAAATGTTAGAAACCCATAATAATGCACACCGATGAAAAATACTTTTCTACTCAGTCGAGTAGTCTCCTCCTGCCTTCACTCTCTGATGAAGGCCAGGAGGCAAAAATGCCTCAGGAATCTTTTTCAGCTCCAGACGTTGCAGAGGGCTGCAGCCTTGTTAGCTTCTACAAAAAACAGCAATTTTCACATATAATAAATGAATAGATGTCGGAGGTGGTTAGACGTACTGTCATCATATCATCACACTTCATGTCGGGCTCGTCTTCATCCTCGCTTTTATTGTAGAACTTCCTGAAGAAGTTGAAGGCCACCACAGTGTAGAGATAGACGACCACGGCCAGCAGACCCAC